GGCTGCTGCTCTGGCTCAACAAAAGACAGTCTCCCAGCAGCTCGATGAAGTCCAAGGAAGAATCGTCGAACTCAACGATAGGCTGTCCTCGAAAGACATTGAAATCGAAAATCTGCAGAAGAAGCTTGACGCATGTCAAATGAACCTACTTGGAAAAGAAAAAGAATTCACACAGGTGAAGGAAAAGCTATGCGCTGCCGAATCAGCCAGGTCAAATCTGGAGACAGGTAAAGCGAAGGCGAAATCCGAAATACATGCTCTCCTCAAAAGGCTTCAGGACTCGGAGCGTTGGATGAAAAATATCAAAGAGGCCATCGCTCGACCAGATGATCCTCCAGGAGGATCATTCCTGGGTACTTGGGACAAACTGAGGGACTATCTGAGCTCGACAGACATCGACAACCCATGTGCCGACTCGCAAGGAACTACTGTCCTTGCAGCTCCTAATGTCGCAAATGCGAGTACAAGTCCCTCTGCGACCTTGGCACCGAACAGGATCTGTGACAGTCCTATTCAGGGCTTTGTTCAGACGACAGAGGTGATATATCGGACACAGAGCTTTCACGGCGGGGGGCTGTCTTCCCCAGTTCAAACTAATGCGAGAGCTGGAAATATTGACCCCGTTAGTCACTGTGAGAAGCCGGAATCATCAACTGAGATTGTACCATTCTCAAATATTCGACGGCAGCTATCACCCGCATCGGGCTCATCTCTAAGTCCTGAACCTAGCGATCTTGCAGAGATGCTTGACATCACGCCGAAGAACAAGTCACCGCAGGGCGATACGGTCGTGGAAATGCCGAAACAACAGAACGAGAAAGGGAATGCAGCTACATCGCACAAAGACGACAGTTTGGACCTCGGAGTGATAGGTGAACACTCGCGGAGCTCACCGCACCAGCCGTTGAAACTGAACTCCTTGGCGACGGAAACGGCTGGTGGTCATAAGAATGCAAGGGCGGATCAGGAAAAGCAGAAAACCGTCACTTTCGAGGCAGAAAAAGAGGTAACCAGGATTGAGAAGCGGAAGTTCTCAGCGACTGTGGACAACACTGCTGAGGAGAGCCCTTCCAAGAATCAACTTATCAAGAAACCAGAACGCACCACGAAACGCACTTACAGTAAATTTCAGCGCTCTCCTTCGTCGCAGGGGGTCCCCAAATTTACAAACGAGTCCAATGCTTCTCCAGCTAGCGAACGGTCGAATCGTGATACGCATACGGAGACTCAATACACGAGCAATGATAAAAGAGCACGAGTGTCTGTGGCGCCGTCGAATTCCGAGCCTAGAGGGCAAGCGCAAGGGACTGCCAACTACTTGGAGCGCAGAACAAGCCCTGCTGGCTTAGCGTCCGGAAGCAGTAGACAATCATCAGCGATTGAAAACAATCCGAAAAACAACAGGTGGACGACACGAGGTGCAAGGCGCGGGAGTCGGAGATTACGCAGTAAGCGCCATACTCCTTGCGAAGAAGCTATAGCTGCTGATGGACACAGGCGCCCGCTACAGTGCCCGTTTCAGCCAGAGATATAACGAACAGGTTGATGGTATATAGACAGTAGAGCCCGAATTTAGCTCGACAATAATGCGCCTGATGGTTAGCGACAATTTAACTGTGGACGAGAGAGGAGAAACGAGATACGCAGCGTATTTATACAAGATCGAACAAGTCACGAAAGGGAGATATACCACTTATGTAGTCGAGAAGATGGAGAGAAAATGGAGATATTGAACATGTTAGAATTAACCCAAAATGTACTGCTCTAAACGCCTAAATGCAAGACCAGAATGAAAACAACTTAGCAAGACACGGGTCCGCTCAAGAGCCCAGAGTATCGCTTTGCCGCTGTTTTCCTAATGTACATGATGATTGATGGAAGTAACGGGCTCGACTTGTCGCTGCCTTTCGAGACGTTGGATGGATTAGGAACGGAGTGGATTCATTGATGCCGAGGAAGATGAGCCGATCCACGAGAGCAATCTCCGTATTCGAAGCGACCGAGCTTGACGTTGCAGATATTTGAATAAGTGAGATCGTAAATCATTTCGCCCTTCCACCCTTTGTCGCTTCCAGGAACAAGACCTTCTTCTTCACCACGGGGTCGTATTTGAGCATACTCAGAGGGCGGTGCGTACGGGGGCGGATCATTGTGCGATAGTACCCGGTCATAGCCATGGAGATCAGGCGAACGGCGATCGTGCGGGATTTCGCTGTGAAGAAGATCGCAAGTCAGTCACCAGTCATCCATTCTCCGCGGAGCAGCATTGTGATGGGATGGAAAACTCCGGGTTCGCTTGGGAAACACCGCTCTGGAGCAAGAAGCTGCGCATACCTTTCTTGGCCATGTTGGCGACTTCCAAGGGAGGGACAGCAAGAGGGGGATGGAGACTTGTCGTGACGGATTCCGAGTTATCGGAGTTTGTGGAGAGAACTTTGGATCTGGATATTGTCACGTGATATTTAATGTCCTGGAATGGGATAGTGCGGAATGCGGATAATGCCAAGACTACGGATGGCCTTTGCCCTTTGCTGCAGGTACATGGGATAGGTACCTCTCCATGTATTGACAAACATTATTATGATGTGTGTCAGCTTAATGAGCTGTCTGTTTGTTATCGTTGTGTTATATCAGAGGGCTCTTTCTACAGCAGTTTGATGTACCAGGAGCAATCGTACCTATCTTTGTCCTGACTCTTGCTGAAATCCTCTATCAGCCTCTTCGTCATGCCGTTTCAAACTGTATAAATATGAGAAGAGTTCCTATGCTTCTGTCCGTTTAGTAACTTCAGATCTTCTTTACTTATGCTATATACAATTGCTTGTGCACTTATGAGTTAGTACGAGCCTTCGGCTTAGATTCTATCATGGCAATGATCTTCACTCCCTGATTCCCTCTTGCGCATTACGGCTGCACGCCAGCAATGACATTGCAAATGCATCCTTGGCCCAAAGCAGTGATATTCCTATATACATGAGAAGTGACTTTGATGACCAGTCGCTGAAATTGTGCCGTGCGCCATTTGGGGGAAGGCAAGCAGTTGGCTGTTGCATTCGTTGAATGCTCTCATTTTTGAGTACTGGACGTCAGCAGTGAGAAGTTTACAAGTTTCCTTTGCGAGCGGAATACCCGCGAGAAATCTCTGCGAGAAGCCTGAATCTTGCTCCCCTCCTCATGAGTACTAATGGGAACCGAGGAGACTCAATCTCGGGATTTTGCCTTGCGGCTGCTCTTATATGCCATGCAAACTAAAGTACACTGGTCCGTCAGCTGCAGACTAGTTGACCATTTTGAATATATAATGTTTAAACATCATGACAGAAGTAAGTCCCATCTCGAGGGTGTCGGTTCAGAGTCACTGATTCTATTGGAGACAAACACACATATGGTGTACGCCGTCTAGTGATCTACACGCTTCGAAGGGCCCTGAAGTCGTCGGGTGACCTAGTGATAGATGCTCGAAGCTCACTTAGTGCTGGCTTCATCCGCACCGGAAGAATATGCATGCAACTGCTCATGCGGATCCTTGGTCCTGCAGTCCTTCAAAAGGTGGCAAGCCCAGATGTCATCGATCAGAAAATTTCCGGCAACTCCAAGTATTCCCAGAGATTCATGCACACTCGTCCACCGTCAACGAGCGCTTTTATTTGAAGACGGAGTATCCCTCTGAGAACCCTAAAGTTCATTCCAAATTTGAATATCGACCGAGCGCACCGCAAGACTTATCTTCGGACAAGAGTTCCATCGCTAACCTGGTCGCCCGCCATTCCGAGATATCCCACCCTCCTTCACCTCTCAGATGCGGGGTCCAAGTCAATCGCAACTTGATATGGCATCGCAAGAAAACCTGGAACTAACATGGGTGATGATCTTGAAATCCGCTCGGGCCGTCAGCCGACCTCTGCGTCCGTTGCAACCGAAACCAATAGTGCACTGTGCACCTTCACCAGCCACACCGGGTTTTGACACCCACAGCATGTCTCTTATCTCCACATTCCATGTCCGTTGGCTGATGGAGCCTTAATTTGCGGTAAAAAATACAGGAATCTATGGGACGAGTCCAACAGAAAGCTTTTCATACCACCTGTCATGCCGTGCTGTGCTACGAAAAGAGTACTATACTCTGGAGGGTCTATATCCGAAAGGGTTCATCGCTAAAAAGAAACTTGACACTGAAGTCGACTGAAATGCCCCTGAGGACTCCTTTCAAGTATGGCAACGAAGTGTGGCTAAGAAATAGAAGGCGAAAAAAGGGTATTAATGCATAGTAAGCTGTGCCAAGTGTCCATACAGGTCCACGACAAAGAGTCCTTCACTCTGGATTGATCATCCACCACAGAGCTACTTTGCTTTGGCTAATACGCTACTAGTCCATGAATACGACGACATCTGGCTTTAGCACGGATTCTCTACCCGGCTGCGGGGAGAACGAAAGCAGGAATGGCAAGATGGTCCGACCTCCAACCGTGACTGGGCCGGTGAATGAGTTTTGTGATACGCAGTGCGTGGCCTTGCGTTATTCACTGCTGAATAGCATGAATCTTCTAACCTCCTCTCAGCCAACATTTCTCATCTTTTCTTTACCATCGCCTTCAGTGTTTCCGATTTCAATCTTATCTTCCTTCCTTGGGTAGTTGATCTTAAAAACGTCCTGGCAGGCAGATTTATCTGACTCCTGAGCACTGATGATGAGCTCATGTCTCTAACCATCCATGTACTTAGCGGCAGTGCCTTGGGTTGCAGAGCACAACTGGAAGGATGATTTATACAATACACTTCCGTCCGGTCAGCATACAGAGTGCAGCAGGGTCATCCTGCTCGAGCCACCACTCAATATCAACACACTGTTCCAGGCTTCTGGGCGGGTCCACTGCCTTGGACAGCGCGAATCCCAGAAAGTGTGGTCATTGTTCTATGAGCACAGCATTGCCCGCTAGATTGAATGCAACAGTATCGGCATTCCCCCACTTAGCTGCGCAGCGTATAATCTCCCGAAGTCCATGGTCCCCGCAGCTCGTTCAACAAATGTCCTAGACGACAACAACACGGCAGATGAGGCAGCTGACCTTGCGAAAGCCGAGGTCATCCAGCAAGGTGCGGCGGAGACACTCTGCCGCATACTTGGCCAGCCAGTGAGTCGGCTGAGCATTAGGACCTGGACCACCTCGGCCTTCCACAGAGAGCTAGGCAACAAGAAATTGCGACACGACTCACACTTACCTGCAGCCAGCAGAGCAAGAACCCCGGGTGTTGGTGCCACCGAAGATGAATGGCATGATTACCGCAGACAGCGCCTGATCCTATCATTCTCAACTTGACGGGCAATGCTGACTACTCTTTCTGGTACGGCAACACAAGGGACATCAGCTCAAATGTGGTCGTGTGAACTAAGACCATCAGCGGAATTTGGCTCCGCACTCTAGCAGTGCGTCAGCTATATGGGTTCCTATCGCTCGTCGGGAAGGGGCTTTGCTCGCGGCAAACGAGCGTATGTATCTTCTTGCTTCCGTATTCAACAGGGGCTAATAGTTCCAGTCTCTTTCCAGGGCAAGTTGACGTCGACCGACCGGAGCCTCGTGAAGATTGCGGATATCGTTCGCGACGTGGATTGGTCGGTGAACTCGGTGGGCGAGCCTATCGAACGGCCTCTGAACTCTCAGGGGCAGTCTTCGGCCTTCCTTCTGCAGGCTCGTGGGCGTGTCGCAAATGAACCCTGCTCCTCGTGCGCTTCAAACCCCAATCCATTTCAGTCCTGTGTCGCTGCTCCCTCGTATAAGGGTAGGGCGATTCACAGGTAAGTAAGACCCTACTTGAACTGAGGGAACTCTTGATACAGATGCATATGAGAAAGGTATTGTCCATACCATGCGTCGTCGGCTTGGGAAAGACAACTATTGGAGATGAAGGTTATGTTGCATGTCTTGCCGCCCAGCGGATATAGTTCGTGATTCGCAGCATATGAAGCTGGGCCCGATTGTCATAGCTGCTTTTCTTCCTCTGGAGTTCCAAATACTCCGCGAAGTTGTATCAGCTGAGAAAGATAGCCGTACACTTTTTGGCCGGTACCCATCGGAAGAACAGAAGGATCCATTTCAGGCTTGGTTTGTTTTGGAAATGTCCATGAATTGGAGGACCTGAATAGACATGTTCGGCGAGCTTCGATCGCATCTGCAACGCACGAGGGAGGAACCACTGAGTGAATGGGACCCAGCGGATAGAAAGTATGCGCTCATCGCTTTTAAGCACGTCTGCCAGTACGTTGCTAGAGCCAGCAAGGTCCTCGTTTCCACCAATAACAACCTGGGCCCTAAACGTGTCGAGGACATCCGTGCCGCATTCGTCTCCTGCTACGCTGTTACGGAGACGAATGGATCATTGAAGGTGCTGCTCCCTTGCACGAGCTTACAGAGAACGTTTCTCCCGGTTTTGAAGAATATAGGCGGTCATCTTATACTGTAGCCCTTTTCTTTCATCGAGGTAGCGTTTCTTTATCGGCTCGGTTCTGCATGCACCACGGTTGATTCATACAGTCGCGCTGGTAGATATCTGTAGTTCAGTTGCCGCCCGCTTAGCAGTGAGCAACTCTAGGAGTACTCGTGGTATCTGTACACAATCAGGGTATTCACTCAACCTTTATGATAAGCATCCGAAGTTGCGATTGCACCGGACAGAAGATGGAAGCCGAGGACTGCCATCTCCTATTGTCTTTCGTAAATGAAGGGACAGAGCAGCATGTATATAATTGCACACACCATGTGTCATTCCCAAATTATCAAGAATGGTACATGATATTCTCACTGACACCACTTAACTAGAGGCACAGACATCTCGCTGGAAGTCTCAAATATCTAATGACGAGTTGCTCATGCCTTCCCCTCATTCAAGTGTTCTAAATGTGTGCATACTGGGGACTTTGTATGGACTTCTAGGATGGCAATGACTTGCCGCTGTACTTCTGGCAGTATACTTCTTGATTCTGGGGGTACGGGCTGGGCCTCGGGCTCGCAAGGCACTCTGAGAGATGTAGAACAGTTCGAGTCGAATAGTTTGCATTCTCGCCGTCACGAAGGGCGAATGCGTCACCGTTGGGGGAAGCAACGGATTAGCAACAGCGACTCTCTCAAGCTCTTCGACCAGACTGCCCTCGGACTAGCAGCTAACTGACCCTGTGCAATTGTTATACTCGGCGCATACTATTTTAGCACAAATGGGGCATGAAATTTGGAGATTCGTATTAAACCTGAGTTGATCTCAGTGTATACTGGCAACAAGTCGGCTGGTTCTGTGGATCTAGTGATTCGAGATATCCACTTTCTTTCTAAAACCCAGAAATTGAGAAGTAAAGCTAAATTGTTTAGAGATAGAGGTTCTTTGTTTGCCTCAGGGATCATCACGACTGCAACCCTCGAAAAACTCCTAAGTTGAGGTTTCACAGCAGCAGGCGCATAAACAAACCATCCAGATATCAGGCTACCTGCATGACTTCATTATTGATGAAGCTAGTAGAAGCCAGTAATAATTCACTAGCTCAGCCTAAGGGGCGGACCTATCCCAGAAGCCTCCGTTTCTGTATGTTCTGACTGGTAAGCCATCCTACTCCTTTCTTCACTGGTGCAACTCTACTAGCAAAAACGTGAAGTCTCTATATCACTATCCCTATGAATCTTCACGATCATATTCTCAAGCTATTCACAACATTTCTTTGAGATTCTCGCCTCTCAGGTATAAATACCCCCTCATGATCGATCTCCCTTCTCTTCTCTTCTCATCACCACCTGCCTCTCTTGCTTCCACTTCGCACTCCATCAATCTCATCTACATCGTTCAAACATCACAACCAACCATCCACTTCAACACAATGAAGTCTTTCAACCTTCTCAGCCTCTCTCTCCTCCTCGCTATCGCCAGCGCCGCAGCTGTCCCAGACGTCGAGGGCACCATTACCAACGACGCGGCCACCCCAGTCAACAACCTCGACGACAAACGCGACCACTGCGGCCAGGTCTGCCTCAACAAGACGGGGTGCGGTGGTAAATGTCCTAAGTGCGACATGAGGTCTCTCACCTGCAAGAAGGCTTAGGTTTGTTTTCTTCCTTTGCGTACTGAGACACAGGATTGTGCTAATTTTTCTGTTGTGCAGACAGACGTTGCATAATCGACATCGTTAATACGCTTCGTATGAATGATTTTTCCTCGTGATGGTGAGATCAAACTTCTCTGTGGATCAAAGCAGCTGCTGATGGCTATGGATAGACAGCTCTTGCTTCGTCTTTGGTTCTCTTGCTTTGGATCTTGGAAGATCTTATCGATTTGTTGGTGGGGATTCTTTATGATTGACGACCGCACGATGATGGCTTGATGGCTTGACCTTGATGGTCGAGGCTTACTGTGGATAGGCTTTAGATAGTCAATCCATTGCTTCATCGTCCTTGTTGTTGCAGATGTGTAGACGTAGTTGTGCGTTTTGTAGATGACTGCATGGTGGCGACCTGTCTTTAGACTTGAGGTTATACCCTCGGAGTCTACAATTGCTATATAATGTTAGTTCTAATCTCTATACTATATAATGTGAATACCTTCATAGATTGATCATATATAAAAGACTTAATGGAGATGATCACTGACGCATGGCCCTAAAAGTGGAGCGGGCCACGCAGTGGAGCCAAGCAAAGCTTCCGACCAACGACCTCGCGATCCACAACGAAGACTTGATGTCGCAAAAATTTCCTTTCACGTTGAAAGGGAAAAAAAGAGCAAAAAGAGAAGCCGAACGCGGGGGTCGAACCCGCAACCTTGAGATTAAGAGTCTCACGCTCTACCGATTGAGCTAGCCCGGCTGGCTTCTTGAAGACCTCTTCCGTAATCCTTCCAATAAAGCGATGCTGCGGCTATGTTCTCCCAGTACGACAAGACAGTTACCACAAGATAATCGCGGCAGTCGTAATTGTGCACCTGACACTCTCTCAAGATCTATGGGGATGTCTCTTCATAAAATTTAGCATATCCAATCCAATCAGACAGAGACATGTAAGTCATTGAGGGAGACACCGTGAGTGCTGCTCGAACCTCTCGAATCGTCAATTAGTGGTAGACATAAATATAGAGCCGACGCTCTGAATGTCTCTTCGCATATGGTCCATTGGACGAGAACGTTCCGATCCTGAGCACCGGTACAAACTTGCGACATTTTGCGAAGTCTGCGCCTATCTCAAGGCGAATCGCGCGTTGTAGTCGAGGATTGTGGCCCACGAGAAGGAGAATTCTCGGTGCAACGACGATCGTTCCGGAAGCCAACTTGAGAATCTCGACTCGCAGTTCAGACATAGTTTCGAAAAATTCAGAAGCCTAGAACACGGATTCCCAGGCAGCACGTAATCAGAGCTGGCCTTTTGTTGCCGAGACTTGAGCTCGTGTTGGATGCTTGGCCTGTCAGATTGTGGCTAAGTATGATAAACAGGGACGAGAAGTACGAAGAAGCCACATATCTCAGACTGAGAGTAGTCTCTGTGGCTTGAGGCTGAACAGTAACAATAGTCACTAGCGTCAGAGTCGAAAAAATGGAAGAGGAAGATTGAGGCTGAGAGGCTGAGGCAGTGCAACCCCTGAGGCTCGAGCGCATAATCGCGATAATCATCCCGACCAGCAAGGAACAGAACTCCCATTCGATGCATATTCTGAAACCAAATAGCAAAACCCAAATAGCATCACTGTACATGATCAAAGCCAGAAGCACGGTATAGGTTACCGGTATAATGGTCCGAAACCGTCCCGCGTCTCAGGAATTATTGGAGATCTAGAGAGCGGTTGCACCGCGTCAACATGTCGCCGGGTGGGCAAAGGAAGACCAATAATTCCAAGTTAACAAGATCCAAGAGCGTGTAGCGGAGATATTGTTTGGACGGTCGGCGACAAACTCTATGGTCATGATGATACCATTTTTATCAGTAACCAGAACGAAAGTCAGTAATGATGGAAGTGGTGTAGTTGAGGAAATGGATAAGCCGTAAGAACTAGGAACACGAGAGCGTCAAGCCACAGTTGGACAGGACACTTTGCAGTATCTACACACTCCAGCTGAAAATCCGACATTTCCCTGTTGTGATCCTGACTCGAATCCTCCCCGAATCCCGAACAGGTAACCGACAGGGATCGCTATGAGTAAACCAGATCTAGAGTACCCTGGACATCTCCAAAGTCAGTTAGATGGACTGCAAGCATGCAACTATCTGCATGTCACTTGTACCCTTTTGTGCAGCGTCCCCACCACATGGAGTCATAAATCATGACAGATGACGGACTAGACCTCCAGTAGACATGGGGACGGGTGATCCTGGATCCATCCCTGGATGGTGTCAAAGAGAGGTTTTGACCGCCAGTTACGGCATTTAGGCCAATCACAAGACCAGAAATCAACCAACAAGCAGAAACTGTGGCCGACAGTGTTGCAGCAGACGCCCTTTTCTTGGCCAGAATAAATAATCAGAGTCTAAAAGCACTGCCTGCATGCACCAGCCACAGCAGACTGGCCAGTCGCAGCGTTTTGTGGAAGCCTGAGGACTCCGTCGAGTCATCCGCCCCAGGCAAACACCAGGCACTAAGAGTGGAACGGGAATAGCATCATCTGCTAGGCTGCCGTGCACACACTCCCGCTCTCCACCCTCCACTGTTCCACAGGCCACAAGGCGTTCTTTCTGAACACCCGCTTGTGACCAATGCCGTCATCCTATCTTTAGACCGATCGGCTCCATCACTAGACCCTTTTTCGTTAGTTGCAGTCTTATATACTCGGCTTTCGACGATGGATGCCTTCTCTTCCAGGTGACTATATATCACCTCAACGTCCCTCCTCTCATTCGAATTTTTTTTTTGGTCTGTCATTACATCAAGCATCGCTTTACTTTTGCATTCTATAATATCTTCTACCATCTACCAACTGCTATTACTTCTCAGCGCTTCTCTGAATCGCGTCAAACGTCTACCAGCTAGAGAGCTCGAGGCAATCAATCAGCCTTGCTCCCTGCTTCACTCACAGCAGTCACAGTGTCGCCCTACGACTCATCGCGTCGTCTGTTCCACCCACCGTCTTTCTTGTCGTCCCTACGGGAACGAATCCTCATCAGAAGAATCTCAACCCGCAGAGTCGTCCGCCCTCGTCGATCATACACCATGCCCGCCTTGATCGAGAGCGCCGAGCCCGTCGCGCCCGTGCTGCGCGTCCGCGAGCTCGAAGACGACGAGGAATATGTCATGACCGCATTCGAGCGCCATGCCAGCCACTGCTCGCAATGCGCGAACCCCCTGCGTGTCCACCAGGAAGACCGTTCCCTCTGTGACCGTGGTCACCAGTACGCCCTCGACGTGGCCGAGTACCTCTACAGTGAGAATGGCAAGGCCAAGTCCGTCATCGACCGCGAGTTGAGCCAGCCCACACTGGTCAAGATCCCCCGGGACTGCGTCGCTGTCCGGGGCCTCCTCCTGGCGATCGAGGATGGCATGCGTCTGCAGCGCAAGGAGCAGGAGAAGGCTCAGAGCCAGACCCAAGCCCGGGTTCAGGTTGTGACCCCTATCATCAGCTACGATCGCACATACCCCATCGCGCCTCGCCAGGCAACCACACAGCAACCCATTGCCTGCAACGAGATCATCGAGCGCGAGCCCCGCACTCTCAAGCGTCGTCGTGTGATCGTCTACCAATCTCCACGCGGATCGTCCCGCGGCTCCCTGTACGACTCTGATGCGGCAGACCGCGTTGAGCGCTCCAAGGAATCTCCTTCGCGCATCTACCGACCAACTGGATACCATCGTTGAATTGTTATAAACTGTTTTTGAATCCGCTTTAAATAACAACAATGTCCCAAATCCTCTGTGCCACGCCAGACACGACGACGAGTCAAGGACGCCCCAAATCCACCGTCACTGAGCGTCAGGACCTCCAGCGCCGATTCGCTTACACCGGCACAGATTCCTTTCTTCCTGCTTGTGTTGGCATTCATGCAAGCCTGCAACGCCATTCCGTTATTGGCTTTTCCATATTTTGACCTGGAATTCTGCGAAGCTGTTTGAACTGCCTTACGCTTTGATTTCGATTCTCTACAAGAACGAAACTATAGCTTTTGCATCAAAGCCAGAAATCACGAAAAAAAAGAAGGAAAACCAGAAAGCCGAGGATGTATCCGTATCCTCCCTACATTTCCTGTCCTCAATTCGAGGGTTCGCCGGGACTATCTGCAAGTTTTGTGACTCAGACTTGAGCTCCCTGCAAGCTGTCTTCATTGAGTCATTCCATTCGTTCACACTGTCTGTCTCAAAGGCAAGCCATTACTGTATGGCAATAATCATTGGACATGTACTTAGTCTATTTCCTTTGTACCAAATGCAAGCGAATTCGCATTGCGTCTACTTCCATCATCCAGTAAAGTAGAGGAGACTTGCTCATATTCCTTGAAGGTTACTCGGGCAGGACCTAGACTAAAGTGTGAGTCATTAAGACCAGGGAATTTACTGGTGGGTATGGTTATGCATTAGCTTGGAGTGTGTGCCAGTAGCTGCCACCCAGGTGCATGTATACTAATTTCTTACCCCGCTGGGTTGACTGCAGCTGTGCCGCGCACTACACATGTACATGTAGAGCACCACAACCTTATTACATTCGGCGATGAGTCCATGGGCCGCGGGCCAGAAACTGTTTTGAGGCGCAGACAGACATATCCCAGCGGAGTAGATGCCCCAGGTGTTTTTGATAGCTAGAGCTGGGACTATATCGTACAAAGGATGAGCAGTATACCATGCACAGCTAAACGTCTCTAAAGTGGCCTTCAGAGCTACATTCGATCACTAGATACCTTAAATTCGGTAGATATCTCCGGATTGTCCTTATCTCCCGAGGACTGATGAGGAAATAACAGTAAATGCATACATCATAATAAAAATTTCAGATGACGGTTCTTGCAGTCTGAATATGGTTCCCTACACGTGCAAGACGTCAAAGTGATTCCTTCGTTACAGACAACTACTCCCAGTCTTCAACACGAGTCCGCAAACTCCGCAATCAGAGGGCCATAGTCTCCATACTTGTCTGGTACATCCTCCTCTTGGGATCAGTCTCGACCAGCTGGCACCACTGCTCCCAGGCGGCGTCATGACTATTGCCGTGGTGAGACCGACTATCCGAAATCTTCTTGCTACCCTTGATTTCCTTCACACGGAGACAGGGATCATACATACCGGTTGGCTTCTCCCATTTGAAATGGTTCCCGCGCAAAGCAGCTAAACTTGGAAATGAATGACTAGATCTCCAGCCAAATAATATTCTTCTTGGTATCAATGATGAATCCGTACTGGCCAAATTTGAGGCAGCGGAATTTGAAGCTCCTGTGCCGCGGAAAACGCTTGAATATCGTACCATTTACCTTTCACGGCCACTTCCTATATCCTGCGGAACCCCATTCTCTGTGATCTAAGTGAGGCTCGTCTGGGAACTGACCGGCAACAAGGCGATATCATGCCAATTATCTACCGGGCACCTGAAACAAGCGCACAGACATACATAACTATGTTGTTGCGCCATGTGAATGGCTTTGACAATGGATGTGACTATTCAATTTTTTATATTGTCTTGATGATTCAAATTTCACGCGTGAATGGGTGTTTATCTGCTTTTCTTCTGCCTGTTTGCTATAATACAACATGTTAACCGCCCCTGCAAGAGTAGCTGACCAACTCAGCATCTCACTGACACTAATCATGCACCTCCACTTCTCGGTCGAATTGTCAGCTCCAGCCGAGTCATTCTCCTGAAGAAAGTTCATAAAAGCACATAATGTACACACTGCAGCTTTAACCAGAGAGAAGGCAAAATAAAGACTGCAACCCATAATCCAATCCAATCCAATCCAATCCAATGGCTCAGCAACCATCCCGTCACACCGTGGAATGGATCAAGCAGCAGCAAGCCGAAGCGGGGGTCGATGTCCGAAAGGCGCGTAAGCCACGGAAAAAACTACCGCTCTGGCTGGATGACTCTCTGCGAAATGCTCCATACGCATTCGACAGAATCCCTGAGCGAGTTCCGTTACCCGAGTCTCGCGACGGATCTTCCACAGCCAGTGACCCTGGAGAGAGAGATGGAAATGCAGCGAGGTCTTCCCTGGAGGCGGTCGATCGCGATGATACCTTCATCCAGCCTTGGTCTATTCCATTGCCGCCATCGCTGCCGCCGTCACCAAGACAGCAGTCAGCACAACGGCCGGCGGCCAAAGAACCGAAAGGGGAAACACCCCCACCGCGGGAGCCCTACTATCGCGTGCTGGACCGCGCAGAAAACGTATTCGACCACATTAAGCACGGCAATATCCGCAAGTTTCCACGCCTGGAGAGAACCTCCATCACGCTGTACGAGTACTACGATGATAGCACTGCGATGAGGGTGGAGATTGAGACTGCTCTACTGATCCCCCGCTTCCGCGGCATGCGGGAGGGATTGAAAGGGCGCGTGTTCCTTGTTGAGGATCTGTCCATGCAAACTATTAACGCCTTGGGGGAGGCGTTTGGGATTACTCCCGAGTTCTTCGAGGAGCACCTGTTGAACTCTGGGTACGGTGGTGCGCAGTACGATGACCCACCGGCGCGGTCATGGAAGACGGCGCGGTTGAACAAGCCGTATGTGTCGATCCAGTGGTTTCGGCCCGTGTATCGTCGTCCACCGTTGTTTTCCTATCGCGACCGGGAAGAACTGCTTGATTTGGAGGGTGATGGGTTAGAGTATATCTCAGGCAATTCAAGCATTAGTCTCAAAGCCGAGACGAATATATTTCGTTCCGAGTGGGATCTGCGCGTTGATCCACGCGGGACTGCAAAGGAGATGAGCGAGTTTGGGTTGGTGGAACGGACGTCGATTTGGAGAAAGCAAGCCGAGAATATGGAGTATGAAACAGGTGAGCTCTTACGTTCGCTGGGAGATTACTGGCAGACTGACTGGAATCGCAGTTGTCGTGTTGCTTGATCCTCTACCGACGATCAGCATTAGTCATGATTTGACACTTCAGATCCCAAAGGAGACTATGGTCGAACCTGGTGACCGTGATGATCAAGGCACCGGAAATAGCAGTGGAATGGAGAGTCGACCAGTCCTGATAATTGAGGGTGATGATACCGGCGAGGGTTTTGCGATTCCCATCGAAAACCCACGGCGAGAGGAGACGTCACGTCCGGTGTTGGACTGGCTGCTCAGGCGGCGCAGACCAGAAGTTGATAGGAGGAAGGTCAACGTGAGGACGAGCTTCCAGGTTTTGGTCAAGCAGATGGCCCCCCGAAAAACCATTACCATCGATCTGGAGGAGGCCCTTCTGACAGGCGATTCCTTGAGCACGCTCCAAGAAGAACTCAACGAGACAAGGTCCACTCGGCAGGCAATGCATGATATAGCCGGGAACAATACAGCGCCCATACATGTACTGCAGATATTGTTTCAGATCATTCGCCAAGACACCTCGACTTTGCTCGGGGTGCTCAACCAGATCCTAAGCGACATGGAGGTCGATATCCTCGACGACACGAAGATGGAAGACCGACTGGCATTGTGGCGGCAGCTCATCAGTAAAGCCGAGGGAGAGCTTTTGGAACTCAAAACATCAACCAAGAGCTTTGTGGCTTTCTTTGGTTTCACGTTTCCAGCTGATACCTCTGCAGCAACCTCAGACGACAAGCCAGGCATTATAAGGAACGTGGCAGATCTCTTCCAGGAGATCGACCAGATGCTCACCAGGCTTCGGCATGCGTCTACATCCTTGACATCCAATATGGGTCTTCTAGACAGTCGACGCTCCATCGACGAAGCGCACGCTGTCACGCGACTCACCGAACTGGCATTTCTCTTCATTCCGCTATCATTCTCGTCATCTATCTTTGGGATGCAGATCGAGCCATTCAAAGACTCAGCCCCGCTGTGGAAATTCTTCGTTGTGGCAATTAGCGTTACAACTTTTGCGTACCTGATGCGGCTCACAATGCGCAGTCAATGGCTGGGAAATCTGAAGCAGAGCGTGAAGCAGGATGTTAGACGATACGCAGAGCAACACGGTCTGCCAGTGCAAGTACGGTCTCTGTCGATGCTGTTACTGTTGCAATGGTTTGGAAGCACACTCGCGCGGAGCAGCAAAGCAACCTGGTCCTGGATAGGCAGGAAGGGCCGTACGGTTGGGATCGGGTTATGGAGGGTGGTCGGGTTCCCAGTCAGTCTCACCCTGCTTATCGGCACTGTTGCAGTAGCACCTATCGCCGTTCTCTGGACCCGGGATATCGACCGAGGTGTGCAGGGCGCAGTTACTTTCGTGATTATACTTGCCCTCGTAGGCCTTGTGGGTGTACCCTACTGGCGAAGGTCCGATGCCAACTTTCGCTCTGCTTTCCCGAGACTCGTTATGCGCCTGCTGAGGCGTATTCCCCCATCAACACGCTCGTTACTTCTCTGGGCCATTGGAATAGCAGGCTTTGTCGCAATTCCGCTCGCACTAATCTGGACACGCCCACTGGCGTCGGGTATTAAAGCCGGTTTGACTGCGGCCATCCTGGTTATTTTGCTACCCTTTGTCTTGTTTCTTGGATTGAGGGTCTTATTTTCTAGACCTAGGGCTGTATCTTCAGACACAGGGGAGGGTTTTGCTTCTGCTTCGTATTCGTATGCTTCCTATGCTTCATATGCGACGTCCCTCTCTGAAGCGGCAGGCAGGCAGCCTAGGAGCAGCCACTCTCAGCGTACCAATAATCCTTGATTACCTGGGAAACATCGCGTGTTACATTGCTCTTGCTCTCAGCTCGCTCAGCTCAGACACATGTCAAAATACACACCATCCAAAGTCCTACTCCTCATCAGTCAACTCCCTAAGTATTCGAATACTCAAAATCATGATCAGCAATGCCAAGGCAACGATCCCCGAGCAGACTACAGCAGCCCAGCCGAGAATCATCGCCGCCGTGCCCACACGGCCCTCGATGGCCCCATACGTGAGACTCTCAGACATGGTCACCGCAGCACTACTATTGACATGCTGCCAAAAAATGGAGACCAAGCCAAACATAAACCCAAGCGCACTCAACCCCATTGCAACCTGCATCACCGGCCAAGAAGGGAAGGGCTTGACCTCGCGCTCCGAACCATTCTCGTCGATTTCTTCGTGCCATCCTGGAAATGTGGCCAAGAGAATAAAGCACAAGAAGGTCAAGACCACAGTGATGAATCTGTTCATGTTAGATCATACCTACACCTAGACACATTCGCGCGTAGACAAAGCCATGGGAAAGAATACAGCACTTACATCAACCCATCAAACACAATCTTTTCTTTGAAATTCTGCGCAATCCAAATCAGATTCAAGGGGTCGGCAGCGCCAGCGTCGTTGCCCTGTATCCCCTCGGCCTTGACCATGCTAGCCAGCGCTGCAGCACTACCAGAGCACAACTGCGCCCTGTTGCTGAGGGTCAAACAGAGACCCATGTACCCGGCACGCACTTCGCGAATCGTGCTATTGCCGTGCGAGACATTGTAGACCTTTTCCACAATGCCGGGGTTTACCAGCACGGGGTCATCAGGGATTGAGGTGCTGGTATTTCTGTATTGCAGGGAAACCAAATACACATTGCTCAGGCCGTTGGAGGAGGTGCAGCCGGCGAGAAGAATCGCTGGATTTGTGAGCCAGCATTCAAAGGTTAAGAACACTGTTCGATGCTTACATAGAAGGATGATTGTGATTGAACAGATGACCATTATAACATGGTGGTACCCGATCATGGGAAGCCATTCTGGAATATTGAGTCAGCCTGACCCCGCATAGGACGACATTGTGAAGGACTAGGCGGTCTCATACTATAATAGGCGCTGAATTTTAATCCCATTCTACCGGATGGTTGGATTGATGGATACAGAGATGGGTATATACCATGTATTCGACCAATAATTGATACACAGATTATAGAATAGAGGGATAAGTGGGAGAGTGAAGCAGGACGTGTGACACTTCATCAAGGCTTATATGTGCTTTTTTCTTCGCTAGTTTAGCTACATGAGCTGAGGATACGCAACAAGGAGGGGTCGACGATTAGATCGGATTTTGGCTGCAGCTAAGCTGCTCCTCATCTCACCATTATCCTCGCACAAATCAAATCTGATAGCCAAATCTGTCAACTTCATCTACTGCCATGTCAATGTGGAGTTGTGATTTTGAAAACTGCAACAAACCATCTGTTAGCACATATGGACAATGCATCACCTGTGATCACCATCTCTGCACCAAACATCTTGGCTCAGAATATCACAGCTGTCCTACTTGGAAGTGAGAAATTGTCTCATTACATACCGCATCAACTAACCACTAAACAGCATGCAGAGCTATACGACCGGCTCGCCCAAGAAGCAGAACAGAATGAGATCACAAAACCATTGACTAAAATCAACATCCCAGCACTCCTCACTTGAGCAAGCCATTTGCGCAGTGGTGTTCCCTGCACTAAAGACTTTAATATTAGGAATAGCTATATAGCTGTATTTAGGTATCCTTATAGCACAGAATTACCCTCCTAGTTTAGTATAATATGGGCCTATTATCAAGGGCGAATTCCAACTCCCAAGAGGATTTTCCGGACAACTCTCCAAAGTGAGAAATCAGAGCAAATGTGTTGTGTTCACAAGTTAGGTAAAGCTGGCATACCTGCCCCAACATGCCGGCCTGGCAATTCGAAGAGATGTAGTGTGGGATACGTACTGTGCAGACTAGTAAGTTATGTAGTTGTCCCTAGGTGACTTGCTCTAACAAACTTTATCATGATATAGTAAACCTAACACTAACCCTGGATTCTCGAGCCCGTCTGTACCAAGGTATATATACAGACTCGCCGCAGCCCAGAATCGTTGGCCTAAAGCACTAGTAGATACCAGGAATGATGCGGCTGCGAACAATAGACGTATAGCGCTCCCAGTCAGCGCCATATTTCCTCTTGCACTTTTCTTCATCGCGTCCGTCCCGGTGAATGAGCAGGACACCAAAATAAAACAAGAAGAAGTAGGTGAAAATCATTCCCCACCCACGTACTTCGGGAGTCTGTATGGCCTGCTTCTGCACGTCACCACTGCTATTGATGCTTTCAATTATGGTGTAGCCAGCAATCCCGGTGGGCAATGAATATGACCATGACATCAGCCAATCGCCCAAATAATTGACATGGCGTGCCAGTCCCCACCAGCCAGAAATCATTAGCTTAGAGCCACTAGACGTCTGGATGTACTTGATATGCTTCATGCGTGGGTCGTTTGGGTCCCTGCGGAAACGGTTCTTCTGATTGTTGGCACCGCGGAAAATGGCGTACCCCGCGCCGGTAACAGTCAAGATCAGAAGGATTTCCTTCAAGCTCAATTTCAAGGGGAAAACCGCAAGGTACCTGGTTTGGATATTGTAGACGAACGGTACCCATACCAGGTGTCCAAAAGAGAGCATGTAACCGAATCCATCCATAATCACGTCCATTGTGGTTAGCACGGCCGGCTCCATATACAGCGCATCCAGAACATAGAAGGTTTGGAACACGGTAGAGAGCACGATGGAGTTGGTAATGTAGCCGTACGTCCTGTGTTGGCGGGCAATGTTGGACAAGTTCAATATGATCCACCCAATCAGACCTGGCCTCATTTCGCACCATACATTGATATCGATCGTTCGTGAGGCCTCATCAACAAAGGGGATGGGCAACTGCACTCGAGGATTAAGCTCCCGGCCAATGAAAAAATCATACAGAGCATTTCCAGTGTGACCACCTGGTGCCAATTCTCGCAGCTCGGGGTTGAGTTGACCAGGTGCAGGGATGGAGAAACTTCTCGCATAAACAAAGACAGCGAGGACTATGCAAATCATTAAGTTTGCCGTGATGATCTGCACGTAGTTATCCCAGAGAAAAGTCCATACGACGAAGTCGGCACCGTGCACGTATGTGCCCAGAGCTAAACCACTGAGGATCAAAATGGCGGAAGGAAAGGCTATAACCCGTCAGTCGACACCACGTCGAAAACAGTTCCCGGGTTCTTACCATTGAACTTGTAGCGAAGCCTTCCCTTGCAGGCCAATTCCGTGCCCTCAACCACCTCACCTGGTAGAAATACGTACAGAACCAGACTGAGTACGTAATAACTCAGCACCCACATGGTCACCCGAATGTCAAAGAACGCTTTGAGACCTTCTTGTGGCCAGCCAACCTCCTCCTTTAGCTTGTCTAGGGACAATGTCGACGGATGCAGCAGCGACGGAACAGGACAGCCTGACACATCGTTACACAGGAAGGTGAGGCTGTAGATAAGCGTCGAGAGGCCAAAGATGAATACAAACGCGCCGAGACTGGTGAAAGTCAATTCTGGGTTTCAAGCATGCGATACAGTAAACAACATACGGGCCACCAAACTCATACCCCCGTTTTCCCGGAACTGGCTGTATTGGAACCGTAGCCTTGAAATCCTTCCTCGGTGCCATGTTTGCTCGAGATCGGGTGGGATATTCGTCAACAAGATGAAGTATTTGGGGAACGTTAGAGCGATAAAAGCTGTCGCAAGACCATACGTTTACCAAGAAACCCACCGAGGGGCCACAAAAACGAAATAAGGGTTGGGAGCCCGGAGGAAGGATCCGCTGTGGGAGACTCAATCGGCTGGGGTGCTGGAAGTTTATAATTGTATGAAAGTAGCCGTGTATGGGGATGATCCAGGAAGGCGAGCCTGGTGGTCCGAGCCGGGAGATTGATGGCCGACGGGAGCCGCGGACACCTTTGTTTCTGTACAATACATAGCTAGATGTTGGAGTTTCTGGATCATCCAGACTACTGCTCTGTCTCACAAACAAAAGACAAATTCCTCATTTCTGTTCCTTGCTCAGCTCCCGTTCTCTTTGACCTTCTCCACTAATTATCTCCAATCACTTTAGCCGTCTCTCATTACTACTGTATCTCGTCCAGTCACTGTTAATCACAGGCCATTCTGCATTCCCCTTCCATGCTTAATTCACATCACGAAGTCGCCAGCTGCAATTGTTGCTCGAATTGTCAATTCTCAACTCGACTCTCGTGCCTCTGTTCTTTGTCTCCACCGATAAAAGGGATCGAACCCTTTACCGCTGTGTGTAGCACGCTCGCCGAGCAACTCTCTACATTCGGCAGTTGCGATCGACAAAGATCTTTGCGAAAACGTCGATTACTATACAAATTCTACGCTGGATTGTTGCATCTTGGTGTTCGCGCATATCAAGATAGAGTGGGCATCAATTGCACAAGATGGAGGAACGTTAGGGCTATAGGGCAGGTGCAGTGCCTATTCCCGCCGTCGAGTTATTCGCGTTTGTAAACCGACTTGCTGGTGATTTTGTGAACTTTGCACATTATGAGCTCGCCAACGTCAGCCTGAATGGTTGGTTGGCAGGCAAGAGTTTTGCTCCGTCCTGAGATAACGTAATCCACGGCCGAGCGGCCATTACGACCGAACGGCCACTTTTCTCCGCAACCATCAAAATATTTGAAATCAACATTCCAATACGCGTCAGTTTTTCATTATTTCTATGTAAAATGCCTTTATCTAAAGAAAGCCATATGCAGATGGCTATTTCTGCATATAAAAAGCAAAAAGTCAAATCAAAACTTCAAGCTGCTGGTGTATTTGAAGTATCCCGTACTACCCTTCGCGCTCGCCTTGAAGGAAGAAAGCCACGCTCAGAAACACGCGCCAATAGCCATAAATTAACAATATCTGAAGAAGAAGCTCTTATCAAGAAATTGCTTGATGCAGATAAATGAGGCTTCTCAATTCAGCCGAGATTTCTGCGTGAAATGGGATAGATCTTGCTTCGTGAACGTACATAAGATTCTACTGCGACCCTTGGAATTAACTAGGCTTATTCTTTTATAAAGCGCCGTCCTGAACTACGTACACGATATAATCAAAGAATTACATATCAACGTGCGAAGCAGGAGGACCCAAAGGTCATAAAACAGTGGTTTGAGACCGTACGCGAAGCTATTCAGGAGCACAGCATACATAAAGATGATATCTGGAACTTTGATGAGACTGGCTTTGCAATGGGACTCTGTACAACCTCTAAGGTTATTACTGCAGTAGAGCGCAGTGAAAGACCTCATACAGTTATTCAGGGAAACCATGAATGGGTCACAATCATTGAATGTATGAGCTCTAAGGGGATTTCTATACCTCCAGTGGTCATCTTGAAGGGAAAAGAACACCAGGCACCTTAGTACCAAGAACCCAATCTTCCACCAGATTGGAGGCTTACCAATAGTGCTAATGGCTGGACAACAGATGAAATTGGCCTTGCATGGTTGAAGCATATTTTTGAGCCTTTTTCCAAACAACATTCAACTGGTGCAAAGCGTTTGCTAATCCTTGATAGCCATTCAAGTCACCAAACTGCAGAGTTTGATGAATTCTACGGGGCGAATGCAATTATCTGTCTTTGCATGCCTCCTCATACATCTCATCTTCTTCAACCACTAGACGTTGGTGTTTTCGGGCCGCTTAAACGGGCGTACGGAGAACTGGTTGAGGGAATAATGGTGGCTGGAAACAACCACATCGACAAAGAGGATTTCCTATACCTACACCCTCCCGCACGTGAAGCAGTCTTTACTCAAAAGAATATATGTAATGGCTTCGCAGGGGCTGGGCTTAAACCACTTGATCAAGACCAGGTTCTTGAGAAAATTACCTTTCAACTTCATACGCCT